GACCCACAACCCTTCTTTTCTGACCCACAACCCTTCTTTTCTGACCCGCAACCCTTCTTTTCTGACCCGCAACCCTTCTTTTCTGACCCGCAACCCTTCTTTTGTGACCCACAACCCTTCTTTTCTGACCCGCAACCCTTTTTTTCTGACCCACAACCCTTTTTTTCTGACCCACAACCCTTTTTTCTGACCCACAACCCTTCTTTTCTGACCCACAACCCTTCTTTTCTGACCCACAACCCTTCTTTTCTGACCCACAACCCTTCTTTTCTGACCCACAACCCTTCTTTTCTGACCCACAACCCTTCTTTTCTGACCCACAACCCTTCTTTTCTGACCCGCAACCTTCTTTTCTGACCCGCAACCCTTCTTTTCTGACCCGCAACCCTTCTTTTCTGACCCACGACCCACAACCCTTCTTTTCTGACCCACAATCCTTCTTTTTTGACCCACAAACCTTCTCCTTTCTTTCTGACCCAGAACCGCGATCCGAACGCGTTTTTTTTAAACCCCTAGCCGCATAGCCCTTTTTTATAGCGACCCTTCTTCTTTCAATTGGAGCCGCGGGTCAAAAAGAAAGGATTGCGGGGGTCAAAAAAAAGGACCGTGGGTCAGAAAAAAAGGATTGGTCACGGAATGCTGGGGGGTCAAAAAAGAAGGGTTGCGGGTCACAAAAGGAGGGTTCGGGGTCAGAAAAGAATGTTTGCGGGTCAAAAAATAATGGTTGTGGGTCAAAAACAAAAGGTCGAGGGTCAAAATAGACGGTTGCGGGGGTCAGAAAAAAAAGGGGGGGTCGAAAAAAAAGGGTGCGTGGGTCAAAAAAAAGGGGAGCCCAAACTTGTCTGGTTCCTTTTTCCGTTTGCCTCCAGTTGTACGTTCGTTTCGAAGGTGGGACTGGGGTGGGTGTCCAAATACCCTCTGAGGAGGTACTTGGAAGTGTAGGTTGTTGTATTTCCCCACGTTGTTAAACCAACGATTCGCTCCGGAAACTCCTTCCACCCGACCGGGTCGTCCGGTTCGTCCCGCGGCAACGCGGGCTGACGTATACAGCCAAGGGAGCGTGCAACCACAGGTCCACGCCCAGGCTGCCCTGGCGGGACCGTTGATCGCAGAAGTTGGGTGACCGGCAGCCACATCTACAGTCTGCCAAAATCATTAATGCCTCGGCAGGGTCTATAGGTATACCCTATAGCCTATAGGGATTCACAACCCACTTGGGCCCAACCCTGGCTTCTAGCGCCTCCACGGGCTCGGAGTCGAGCTTCTCTTTTTCCTGCACAGCTGCAGTTGGCACACCCGGGACCAACCGCGAGGCTCGCGTGCGCCGCTCGATCCCGGTGGTCGGAATGGACCCAGAAGACTTGGGGCAGTTGGGAATGGAACACGAAGAATCGCAAGGTCAGCAGAATTGAAGCCCTCATGTGGAGGGAACCAAGATAATCCAATTTGTTTGTGAAATATGTGGAGACACACCCAAATGTAACACCTTTGGAGCGTCAACTGACGGAACATGACAAGGATACTGACAAGGATCTATCACTTAATGCTGCAAGACTCATATACCCTTTAAATCGTGCCCAAATGCAAAATCTTGTTAAAACAAAAACAAAAAACAAGCGGGGGGGAAAAACAAACAAACACGACACTCTCTCCTAGAGACGAGCCAGCTCGCCGCTCCGCTCGGTCGAGAGTTCGGCGCCTCCTCGTTGGCATTGTTACAAATCAACTGTGCGTGATTGGCCGGATGCGATTCCTGCCGAGAAACTTGCAAAATGCGCCTCCATTGGGGGTTGCAGGGTAGTCTATACCATTCGGCAAAGTGTACCAGCAGTTTCAATTGAGTGGTCAGTCCCATCCCCTGGATGCTCTGGGCACCCCTATCCTCCATACCGGGGCAGCTAAGCGAGGCTTCTTTTCTATCCTCCGGGGGAGAACACGAAAGTCGGTCCTTCGTCTTCAATCGTGTTTCCCCAAATCTGACGGGAAAACACGTGCCCTAGTAGCGTCCTTGCTCCTAGTAGCAATGCCAGGAGCCCCTAGTAGCGTCCTTGCCAGGAGCCCCTAGTATAGTGTCCTTGCTCCTAGCATCGATGGGCCCTGGCATGCCAAGACTTACACTTTTCATTGAATTTCTCGGGCTCGGACGGGAGCGAACCAGTGCGTCATGCAGCGTCATGCGGCGTCGCCCCTGGGATCACATCATCTGGCCCTCGATCACGCCCGTCTTGACGCCCAAACGAGTACCCCGTGGCTCAGTCGCCCCTTTTCATCCTTTCCGACCACTCAGTCGACCGCGGCGGCTCCGCGGGGGCCTCGATCTCCTCGTCCACTTCTGGGGGCGCCCGGTCCATGACCGGCGCCCGGTCGATCGACCCAGAGACCAGCGGTGACCGGCCTAGTCGGTGCCTTTGTGGTCTGAGATGTGGGCTATGACGGGGTATGGGTATCTGTAGATTATAGGGAGACCAAAGACCCCCTGGAATGAAGGAAAATAGGCTCAAACCCCTTGGTTGTGAGGTCCCCTATTTAGATATGAGTGGAGAACACGGAGCACCACATGACTGTTTCATAACTCCAAGATCTCCAAGTCACTCATTTGGGGTACTAAGAGTTCGGATCCCAAAACTGATGTCCTAAACCGCCACCTGGGTCATCAAGATTCCACCCAAAAAGTCTTTTCTGGCTGGGTCATGAGACGCTGACGTTGGCTTTTGGCGGGTTGTGGCACTCCATGGCCTGTTCTGGGGAACCTGGAAAAATGCATGTTGGTCAAGGGCTTGAGCCGAAGGAAGCGCGGTGCTTCGTGGACCAGACGATGGATCCTGCATGGCAACGAGGTGGATCTACGGTCGGAAGTTGCCACTCGTTGGGCAAGTCTCTGTAGACATGATAGCCTAGCCCCAAACTAAAATCATGGGGTGAACATTGGTGGTAATTAAGGGGTGTCCGTCAACCACCACTTGGGGTGTACATGTCGCCATGTATAATCACGATGTGTGGAAAAAGGCAAAACAAACAACAAACAAACCAAACCTGGACCTTCGAGCATCTATATTTCTAGAAAATGTGTCCCTGCGCCATGAAAACCGGCAGAAGCGGACACAAGTCTGCTATGCTCTTGTCAGTTGCAACCTTCTGACTTTGGGTGCCCATGTCATTTGGAGGAGTTACGGGGAGGTACCCGTTCAAGAAGAAACTCTACCAAGATTTCCGATCATATACTCTCGACTCACTGGATGGGTCTGAAAACCACACGTACCACTGGGCAAAACGAGTACAAGGTCCGTACTCCTCTTAGCTCTCTGGGAATCCCCCTTATATAGATGTGCATCATATAACTTTCAAACACATTCTATTATCAAATCCTATGGTTTTTCTTCCCCTGTGACCGTGTCGCGCACGCACACATCCCGCTTCCGGCCGGAAACGACCCCCCCCCCCGCCTCCGAACGGTTGCGCCGGGCCCGGCTCGCGGATCGATGCCGCCGCCGGCGGGGCGCACTGTCGCTGCGCGCGCTGCGGTTGCGGCGCTTGGAGCGACTGCGGTTGCGGCGCTTGGAGCGACTGCGGCAGTGCTTGGAGCAGCGGTGGAAGATGGTGCTGGTTGGAGACAGAAGATCCGAGTCCGGAGTACTGTAGAGAACTGTAGAGTATGCAAAGGACTTTTTAGAGACCCTGACTGAAGGTCTGGAACTTTCAAAAACACTCAGCCAATGGCGGTTTAGAAGGCAATCAGTAAGTTGAAAAGGTTCTTCAACATGCACACCTTAAGGCATTTGGTGAGAAATGGGCCACCCGCAAGTTGAAGTGATCGGAAGAAGATATGCTCCTACACCAGGCTAGACAAAAGAACACAAACTCAAAAACTGATGTTGTACCATGTCGTAGCTGTAGATCCTGTAGCTGGATTCTCGCCTTCACCCCAGTGCCATGGTGTTGTTCTCTGTCCATTGACCAAATTCACCACTGAAATCCAAAAAACAAGGCCATAGCTATATACAAACAAATCGATCGGACGCTTTCGGGATTCTGCTGCGTTCGGAGCGGCCCGTCCATCGGCCAGTCATTCGGCCGGTCCCGGACGCATCGTTCTTCGGCCAGTCCCGGACGCCTGCGTCTACGTTTGCTGCCACTTCGCTTGTGCTCCTCACGAGGCGTCTTCATTGGTGCCGCTTGCCGTGGTTTCTGGGTTGCAAGATTCGGTTCACAAAAGAAACCCAGCAACTCACAGATCGTCAATGCTCATCTGTTTCTGATTTGAAGCTCGAATCGTCGTTCATACGAGAACTGGTGCAATGACAGCTGAGCCATGCTGAAAACCTTGATAGATTCCTATGTCGTAAGAACTGCCTTACGCGAAAACTTACGCAGCGCTTACGCGACCGCAGTTTCAGCTTACGCGGGGGTGTTGCTTACGCCGCTGCTTACGCCACCTTACGCCATTGCAGGCTTTGCTTACGCAGCATCGATATGACATAACCTGGAAATGTCTGGCTTACGCCAAAGCTTACGCAGAGCTTACGCGACCGCAGTTTTAGCTTACGCGGGGGGAGGTTTTCAGCGTGGCTCAGCTGGCGAAAAGCGGGGGGGGAAAAGCAACAACACACCAGGACACACCAGGACCCTCCAAAAGAAAAGGTGGTTTATAGAATGTCCGCATATATTATATATACTTTCACAATCTTTCACATTGATCTTCACCTGTATATTACCCAAACACTCCATGGGACTGCCATATATGCCGCCCCATTGACCTCCCAAAACCACCCCCTGGCCTGATCGGCATATACGTTTTAGTCCCATGGGTCGTGTCTGGGTTATTATGTTCACTATCCCCTCCCTGAGTCGGCCCCGGGTATTTGCAGGACTTCCCCATGTCCTTTCTTCTTCTGAGTTTGGCCTCCGAGGAGGAGCTCTTGATCCTCCTGCACCCGGCACACGGAGGCTCGGCGTACGATATAGAACATATAGAGTCCTTTGATGCCCTTTGTCATTGGTCCATTTCAGGCGACTTGGTTCGATGCTTCTCGGATTTGCTTTTGTGAGAAAGCCATATGCTGATCTCGGCGGCATCAAATGACATGCGGCCACACCCCAAATGCGGGCATGTGGTGCCATGAACCTGTGCCAAACACCTGTACAGCAAATGCAATTCTCTCGCCAGAGTCGGGGGCGGGAGGTGTCCGACTCATTCTTTGGTGGGTTTCTGTGATGAAAATACCTGTCGACGTTTCTCGCAGGTCCGTGCTCTGTTTCTCCCGAAACTTCCCACGTGCTCTCCTCTTTTTCTTCCGTGGCTTCTCACTCGCAGAGGCCTCTGATTGTTCCTTCTTCTTCCCATCCTTGGTGAAGATCCCCAGAAAGACTGCGAAAGAACTGTGAAAGAAGAGCCCCAGTGCCAAGGTTACCAAACAACCAACAGAGGTTGAAGAACCCTATAGACTATCCCAGGTACCCCAGTAGGATCTTATAAGGTCACTTAACCTCTCTTGGAAGAGTTTGAAGACATTTCAGCTTGTCAACCTCTTTTGCTTTTGATGAGTCCTCTTCTACCACTGTTGTAGGTGGCAGGAGACGGTAGATGCCAATGCCCTGCTCACCTTCTAAGATACCTTACACAAATCCTCCCTAAACGAGTTGCACATGTCGAGTCGCACTGTTCTTACACATGTTCAACTAAGCACAGGCTGCAGCCCACCGAGAACGCGTTGCATAGACACTTGTAGTGGTGATGAAGACCACACGATTTTGCGAAAGCAGATTTGTCACACGCATCGCTCTCCGAGCATCGCTATCAGAATCCTCTTTGGCCTCCGCCTCTTTCTCGCTGTCAGAGGCTTCCTTAGTTTGGCTCATCAACACTGACTGCAAAAAGCTATCTAAAAACAAAAAAAGAGGTTCATCCTGCTGCTGAGTTGGTGTTGGTGCGGTGCTGTTGTTGCTGATTATTTTTTGGGGGAGGTTGTCCTAAGATCGAAACATAACAAGTAGCTTTAAGCATGTCCAGGCTTCCTTGGGCTGTTCAGCTTCCTTATCCTCGCTATCAGAGTCGTCCTTCTGCGCCGCCGGCTTTTCTTCACTGTCAGAGTCATCCTTCTGCTCCGCAGGTTTCTCTTCACTGTCGGAGTCTTCCTTCTGCTCTGCAGGTTTTTCATCACCTGAGCAGCCAAGCCACAAAGAACTTGGCTCCTTACTTACGAAACAAACATGGCTTTGGATGCTGTTGCTGGTTCATGACAAAGGCTGATGCTCTCATTTCTTGAGGTGTTTTTTCTCTTAGCATGCTCAGTGCCGTCGTTAAGTCAGGACGAGCCCCTCTTGTGTTCTGGACCTTCGAGCGTCTGAGACGAGTGAGTAAGGTTCAGGACAAGCCATGAAAACATGGTTTCTTTCGGAATCCGTCGTAGTGTTTGGGATGCTCAGCTTTGTTTCTCCTGAAGCCGAGAAAAGCCACCTGCACTTGTGGTGCCGCCTGCACTAAGGAGTACCAAATAGACAGGTTGCTATCAGAATCGTCTCCAGCTGCAGGCTTCGCGCTCTCGGAGGCATCCTTTTCTTTCTCATCATCAGAGCCTTCTTTCGCTTCGGCCTCCTCTCAGGGTGGATGCAAGCGTCTGCCATGCATTCACGGAACAAAAAAAAACAACCATCAACAACTTGGGACATAGAAGGTCGAACGCAGAAGGAATGCTCTCGTATCGATGATCCAGGAATGCCCAAATGTGCAAGTATTCAGCAACCTCAATGCGTGAAAGGGTGTTTTGAGATTATCTCTTGCAGTCTTCCGATCTCCAATGTCTTCTTGATTGTGGCCACATTGCAAATTGTGTATATACCGTTTAGCCTTTTAAGCAACCATGTGGATATCTGCGGCCGTAGTACCACTGAAGGCCCCTTTAAAAGTTGTGTTTTTCTCATCTCAGCCCCCACGCTTCTGGAAAGCATCATACACAGTCACCTGTGCTACTGGGCCACCTTGGAATACAGTGGTTTCAGAGGCTCGATGGCACGGGGGCCCCAAGATAACCTAGACAGATGGGGGTCCATGTAAACCACCGACATTGGGGTCTACTACTCTCAATCCACTATAATGTTGGAGCTTGTCCAACTTCCCAGTCCCCGAGACCGAAAAAACCGGTGTCGACGCATCGAAACCACCTGCTCGGACATGTGGGTTGGGAGGGAACCCAGTCCTCGGACGCTTCCTTGGCCTCTTCTTCGCTCTCCTTGGAAGCCGGTTCCGGGACGCGAATCGCTTCTGCTGGACCGAAGGAGGGGGTCCGAGAAGACCAACCGCTGAAGGAAGGACACCCAGTTGAGTTCTGGCATGATGAAAACCAATGAAGAAGGCAAAAAAGGCGCAACAGGATGATTCTTGAAGGATGCGGAACGCTCAACACTGACCAGGGACCTTTCTTTTTAGACCAGCACAGGTCCTCAGTACCCACATCACCAGTCACCAGCGGTCAACATCACCGGGAACACCAATTTCTCCACAGATCCAATGAACATATTCTGTACCCCAAACACTAGTGAGTGACTCATCACCGAGCCAATATGTCTCAGCATGGGACTAGTTCGTGACTCACAAGACCCAAGCTACCGAGGCCAACTTCGGCTTCTCCTGAGCCAACAAACAACATGGAGGAAAGATGAGGAGAAGACAGCAGGATCCAGGAGTCAAAGAAGTTCTCAGGAAATTTGTGTTTTTCTTCCAGGATCCAGAAGCATCTGCCAAAATATCCTGATTCGCGATTGGCTCAGGTGAGATTCCAAGTAAAGACTCACCTCCGAACCCAACCATCCAAAAAGGAGGTCCTTGGAATTCATGGTTTATGATGTATTATATTCCTTCAAACCCAGTGTTCACATATACATGACAATCCATGATCAACGGTGTTCAAGAATAGGGCTGATTACTGAGCTGATTGGCTGGTCAACGATGTCCAAGTTGAATGGTCAAAAATGAT